CTGGATGTTGCTTACCCTTGACTTGTGTCTAACTATAAGTACAATTGGTGAAAACTCTGATGCTCAAGCCACATCATAGGTGCCAACACTCACTAGTTCTCTCTCTGCCCATGTCTTTGTCACTCACTCACTCACTCACTCAATCTCTTTCTCCTTCTATCTCTTTCTTTCTTTATTTATCCTTCTGTATGTATATGTATTTATTTCTTTATTATTCCTTTCATTCTTTCTTTCCTTTTCTTTTTGTATTTTATTTCTTTGTGTCCTTCAATCTCTCTCTCCCCCCCTCTCCCTCTACCTCTCTCTCTCAGACTTTCAGCTGGGGCACCCTTGGCTTCATCTCCAGCCTTTTGGGGCAGCTGGGCAAGTAGGTTTCTCACTTGCTGGGATTGCCAGTGCAACTCAGGGATTCCTTGGCTTCACAGGACTGCAAAGGGCACCACAGCCTCTGCAAGCAAGTTCACAAACAAATAATACATACCCATGCCATTCATTAACTAATCAATTCATATCCCCTTCTGTCATGTCATGTCATGAGCTGCCAGGACTGTTTGCCCAGATGCCCAAACAAAAGTCCACATAGCTCTTGGCCCAATGGGCTTCATCCATGCACAGGCAAGCAGCCTCTGCCTCACATTATGACAGACCACTTACAGGGTGTGGTGGTTCAACCAAACATGATGCTGCCAAAGCAGCTTCAAGGCATTCTCATTATATTATATTTATATAAATATAATCAGGCTCCCCTATCTACTATTATTATTGCTGTTGTTACCAGGTAGCCTGTGCTTGACTTTGAGAGTCACTGCCAATCAAACCAAGCCACCACTTTTGACCACCAATCTGTTGCACCTTCTGGTGAGGAGAAGATGTGGTCCAGCTTCATCACTGTCCTTGTCACTCAGTCAAAGTCATGGTGTCTGAGTCTTAAGCATGTGGTCCAGCTTTACTTTAAGGCCTATCATCACATCATTTCAATCATTGAATATTTATGAAACCTCTCTGGTGTCTAATCCTGGGCCTTTGAGGTCTGCTTAACTGTTAATGGCAATGTTCCCCTTTCATTCAAGCCTTCCACCCAGTCTACCACATCCCCAGCCCACAGCCCACTTCAAACCTCAAACCAAGCTGCTCTTCAGTCCATGATGTTGCACCCAAGCACAGCTGGTAGGAACCCTTGCGGTACACCATTGTGATTGGAGCTCCAGCAGGTGCCAACACCAGCTGCCTATCCTCTTGGTTGCACGCAGTGAGCTCACCTTTCTGCCTCATTTTGGTGCACCATAAATTTTACCACTGGTCATGTCTTAATACTGGACATTCTGAATTCTTTCAGTAACCTGACACTGAGTCAGCACAAATTGACAAAGCCCATGACAAAACATCTTTGTTTGTTTACCAAGTCTGTCATTATTAATGTTGTCATATCACTCTGAACATTCAATGTGAATCACCAACTTTATGACTGTAAGTAAACTGTTATTACACAGGCAAGCAAGGCACCCAAGGATTGCTTTGTATGCTGCCAGCTTCTGGGGTACCTCCTCCTGCTCTGGCTGATCATCAGTCCTCCACAACCCACACTTTACTAACTAACTTTGATTGCAGTGACACACTGGCTAATTTTGGTCACCAAATTGAAGTGACCCTCACTGATGCTCTGATTAGCCTGTTCAAGTAACATAATGTCAAGTCTTCAAGTGTCATGGTCCAAATTTGCCTCAATAGTCACATTGTCACAATTGTGGTAACTTAATTACTTGGCACTGCCACTGTCCTCCTGGATTTGCTGTTCTTCTCAAAGTATTTCTTCCATCCAAGCCTGCTGGCCACCTCTGAGATATTGCTCAGGTTTTCCTGAAGGAAGACGCACATTCTCATGACATGACAATAACACAAAATGCAACAACAACAACAACAACAACAACAACACCAACAACAACAACAGCAACAAATAATTATACAATAAAACTTTAGTGAGTGCCAAAAAGACATGAATGCTAACCTCAAAACCCAGTGGCATCCAAGCCCTTCAGCCTCTCATTTTCACTTTGCTTCATAACTTTTTGGTGGGCTTCCACCAATGTGCTCTTCCTCAGCCAGCTGGCTGTCTCATGAGGATCCTAAAGCATGGCATATGTCCAACAAAAACAAGTAACTTTAGTAGTCAAGTAAGTAATGCCAATTACTTCTACATTTTAAATAACTAAGTGAAACAAATAAAGAATGATTAATAATTCCAGAAACTTTGCTCTTCCATGCTCTTCCTTCTGATTATCAGATTATGACAACTATTAAATTAAAGACTGAATTAATTGACATGTCATGAACACTTTCAATGAATCACCCTTGTATTACAGTCTGACAGTTCAGTAATCTAAGGCTTCAGATTCTTGGAAAATTGCACAATTGCACCCCTTCCCCCCAAGGGCAACCAAACCCAATCAACTAGTTCCAAGCCAAAGTTCACATCACCACGAGTCCTGCAAAGCATGTCCTTCAGTGAGACCTTTGGCCCAAGGCCTGTGAGGATGAATGCCAGTTGATCAAGCTCTCGATCAGGAAGTTGGGACACAGTGCCTGGTGAGTCATTTGCAGCTGTGGTCTAGTCCCAACACCCCTCTCAGGTGAAATAAGCTAAGCCATAGACTATTGCTGCCTTACAGTAATTACACCCATTCTTAATTTGAGTGCTCATGTCTTATCAGCCTCTGTTGATGGTTGTGTCATTGGTATAAAAGTGCATGTTGCATTTCACCACATTCAACTCATATGCCAAGAAGCTGATGGAAAAGCCATCTCCCATTTTGGTCAACCATTTGACCTTGTACTTCCTGGGGGTGCAATTCTTCTTGTTAGTCACCTTCTCCCCATCAGCTCCATAGTCACACCCAATGGAAGTCCAATGCCTCAGAAGTACAATTGATTCATACACTTGGGCCAAAAGCTCTGCTTCTGCTAATGACTGGTGGCCTTTCAAGGTCAAAATGGCAACCCTACTATGCAGCACTGCCCTCAATTGACAATGATTGGCAAATCCCACTGCAAGTCAGGCCCTAATTTTATTGACAAAGTGCGATGGCAGCTTCATCTTCTCCAGCTGGTCATCTGAAAGCATGCTGGTGGATGTTGAACTTGAACCTTGGCTGCACTAGCAGTTCAGTGAGCAGTCACACTTTGCCAGGACTGCCCAATGCTACCTGGTGACCTATTCTGCCAACTAACCCAGCACCTCAGGTGAAACCTCTAAACTTCAATTTAATCCCACCATCCCCAAACTTCCCAACCCAGCCTGAGCCATGCTTCTTCTTCTTCTTGCCTTTCTTCTTCTTATCCTTCTTTGCCTTTTTCCTGCTGCCTTTGCTTTTTCTCTTCTTCTTGCTTGTCCTCCCAGCCCTAAGTCCAGCAAAAGCTTTTGACTCAGTGAGAGTCAGTCATGATTATGCACCATGTGAAGTTCAAAAGGATGAAGGCCAAGCCCTAATCTGGTTTAAGGCAGTAATCATTGAACCCCAGCTGAGCCCCATCAGTGCAACAGTGTCAACATAATGCAATAGAGGATCGAGGAGGAGTCTTCATCATCCTCCTCCTCCTCTTCATCATTGTCATACTCCCAATCATTGGGAGGCTGAGGGATTCCTTGAGGAGGAGCAGCTTGTGCTTGAAGCCATGCAGGGATGCCTCCATGGTAACCCTGGCCCTGCATCACAAAATTTGGATGCTGATATCCTGGGGGCAAAGTGCACCTCCCAGGAACAGCCTTCCTCTTATGGGATGGCATGATTGGTCAGTCAGACCAAATCTCAGCTTGGGCCACAAGATCCTGCCCAATCTCAAGAAATCCTATCATATTCCTTTGATTTCCTAAGTTTTTCTCCAGGTGGAAATTCCTAGGAAATCTTAGGTTTTTATACCCCTGATTTTCATTTCAGCTGGCCTGAAGAGTCATCCTTTGAACCACCACATTGGCATGTTCTAAGATGTTAGGGGCTACAAGAAACGACCCATGAACTCTGTTTGTTGGCAACGACAAAGTTGAACAGGAGGCACAAAAGCACGACAATGACTGACATTTTAAAGAAGCAGAAAGAAGAAAAAGGGGCAGGATGACAACGACCAAGGCCATGCTGAACTTCTACGTCCCATAGACCCCTAGGCCCTAGGGCTCCAACCTCCTCAAAGGCACACCCCCTAGCACCCACCTCCTGAGGATGTGATTGGAGTTGGAGGTTTAGGGGTCTATGGGAGACCACACAAACACCGTCGACGCCTGAGTCCAGAGTCCTCCGGCGGAGGTCTGCTATAGACCCCTTCCACTACACTTTTGCGCATATGAAGATGATGAGGCAAACTTGTACCACCAGTACAGTGTAGTTTGATCATATACTCCTGCAAGTAGCAGTCTTTTTGGGGGTGTAGATTCAACTTCGAACTCTGTGGTATACTGTATTACTTACTAGTTTTGGGCTGGCTTTCGAGGTGACAGTTGGACAAGCCATTGCCTCGTTGAATGAATATACAAGTGGCAAAGGACAAACCCAGCCGCCAAAGTCAATCTATATGTAAAACTGTCCGTTGCATATATTGGCAATTTCACGTTATCTTGCATCGAAGTGTTGAAGAGTCCCAAAGAACTAAAGTGCATCTGTAAAGATTGTTTACAAGTCGCATGAATCGCCCAAGAAACATGCTCTTGGCCCACCCCCCTGGGGCCCTAGGGCCCTAGGGACGGGTGTCGCGAGACGGCGAGAAGCATTCGTCGTGTCACCCGGGTGGATATCTCCGGTCGAGCAGCGCCGGTGTTTCAAGCAGGGGTCTCCCAAGGAAAAGAGGCCGGAGGCTTCCGGGTTCTGAGCCCCAAAAAGAGTGGCATCTTCCTCCAGCTGCCGGGGCTTTCCTCCAGGCGAAGTTGGACCCGAAGTTGGAGGTGCCGATGGAGGGTCATTGTCAGGCGATCGCAGCCGCTCGCGTGGCCGCCCACACGACTCCACACGGTCGACCTGCTGGTGAAACTGCAGTAGGGCACTGCGGTCGAAATGCTCCATGCTCACGCGCTGCTGCCTCGACGCGCAGCGCGGAGGGCGAGAACACGGGGCGAGAACACGGGGAGAAGACCTGCAGACGTTGGCATCCAAAAGGCTTTGCTGAACGTGGCTTTGGCGCGGTACCTGGGTTCCAAAGGGGGATCCCAGTTACCACTATGTGGAAGGAACATTAAAAAACCAGGGTTTCTATGCCTGTGGTTTCAGTCTTTAGAACCACGGGTTGCCAGCTCTAATAGATTATCGTGGAATATAGTGGTAACTGGATCCTCTGATGATGATTGGGGGGACCCTATGTAGATCAAGGGCATTCCTACCCTCCTGTTCAGGAGCTGCTGGTACATCTTGAATCATTCTCCTGGCTCTTCAAGGTGGCCTTTTGATATCCTAGTTTGAGGTCACTTGGGCCTTGGGCCTGTAAAATTGCACTTAGGGACTCCATTTGGAGGTCACTCTGAAGAAACTGGTTGAACTTATCCTTCTTCCTGCCGATGTGTGGATGCAGGACAGCCATGGATTCGCGGTGGATCAGCGCATCCATGTGCACGAGGACAGCCACGCTTCATCGATCAGAAGTGTATTTTCCGTAGACCGTTCACACCTGGTTGATCCGATGATCCTGGTTGGAAATGTCTTAGAAACATATATAAATCATCCCCAAAACTCACATGGTCTCCACTTACTTCTCAACACCCACCACCCGGATTGCCCCGTGCCTCATCTTGGCACAGCCTGGCAGACAAGTGGGGGGGGGAATCATCTGTGACACTCGTCAAAAGCACATCTCAGCCTTTGGCCCGAGGACATCAGATGTTCACTCACCTAATAGCTATGGCCTCTAACCTAGCAATGAAAGTCTAGAACAAACCGATCGTCTCTCGGCGGCAGCACTGCCTGGTCTATGAGAACCTCCGCAAGCGAGGCTTTGTGGCGATTCCCTGGAGGGAGTCTGACGTCCGGGCCCTGCTGAACAGGCTGCAGGCGGATGAGATCTCACCCTACAAACTCCAACAGATTTGGCAGATTTTCGGCTCCTGGAATCCGACTTTCGGTTCCCTAGCGTTTTTTTTTCCCGGAATCCGGTTTTCGCTTCCCACCGGTGTTTTGGGTTCCCGGCGGTGTTTTCGGCTCCCGCCGGCAAAGTGTGTGAGGTAGCCACTGGCACAGCAAAGCAAAAGCGAACAACTTGGTACACTTCTCGATTTGCCCTCGGCCCAAAGCGGTTTTCCACCTATGGCTGCGGGTGCGAATGCGTCGGGCGGCCGTTTCCGGCCGTGCACTGGTCATGTGCCAGTTATTGGCCAAAGGGATCCCTACACGGCAGCGGAAGGCGGCATGACCTGTGGAGGTGAACTTGAATCGCTTCCTAAAGCTAACTTCTTCACATGCCCCGAAGTTTGCCTCATCAGGTCAAGCCAAGTTGGATCCTTTGGATGACCCCTCTCAGGCTGCTCAGGTCGGGTCCGGAGCTTCTTGGCCGCCGTGAAGGATTCGTCGTAGAGCAGATTCCAGCGCTGCTTCTTCTTCAAGAACTGCATCACACCATCAGCAGCTGAAATCTTCGTCATTCCATCAGCCAATTGCTGATGTGAGTTCACCCACCTCAAGGTGGTGTTTTGCTCCATCAGGTGCTGGGACAAGCCTAGCACCTCCAAAGCTGCGTGCTTCTCTTTCGCCGACAAGTTCGGGGCGTCCTGCTGCTGCAACATGTCATAGAGCGCTTTTGCGTCCACCACCAGCACACCAGGTGTCATCTTCGAAGTCAGCCATGGATTTGCCATGTCGAGAACTTGACCCCGAAGTTCTTGCCAGAGGGCTCTGACCAGAAAGAGCTCTGCTTCACACTCTGACAGGGCCTGTGCTTCAGCTGCTAGGCTGCTCCTGCAGACACGCCGGAGCTTGTGAGTGCTCCAACTCACCAGACTGACCTGGCCTTGGATGCCGCTGAGCATGCTCTTGTGGACAAAGCCGATGATGTAGCCTCCGGTGGATGACAGATCCACTCGGTTTGCTAGAGCTGCATCACTCCAGCCCACGGCAACAATGTCCTCATCAGCCTGAGGTCATACACCGAGACCTTCTCATCCTTCTGGTTATAGAGCTCGCGGACAAACTTGTTGATGTCCTTGAGAGTGCTTCGATCTCCACGAGGCAGCAAGCTCTGAAGGTGGCTCAACTTTGAGCTGTGCTGAGGGCCGGTCTGGTAGCATCGCCATTGAGCTGCACCAAGCACTGCACGGCACTGATGAAGTTCTCCCTTCGTCAAGTCTTTTCCTTCTCCTTCTTCCACCACTTCACTTAGGCCTTCACAGAACTCGGCCTGGCTGAGATGCCATGCTTTGTGCTCATCCTGGGTCATCCAAACTCCGCAGTGGTTCATTGGCGGTGCTTCCCATGGGCTCCACTTGAGCGACTTGTGGCAGTCCTCCAGGAAGGTGCGCCAGACTCTGCTGTCCTCATCGCCCATCAAAAGGAAATCATCCACATGGGCGCCCACTGCACCATGCACCTGAACTCGGCCGGCATCGTCCTGAGTCTTGAGGATCCAGATGCTCGGATCAACGTGTAGTCGATGAAGTTGAAGCCGGGTCAGGATGGAGTCCACATGATGGTAGAACTCTCTGGGAGCAATGGTGAGCCCGTATGCTGCCTTGAGGAACTGCACGGCCTGGTTGGGCTTAAGCTGCATGGCCTCCTGGAGCTCCACAACTGGCATGCCAAAAATCTGGCGATGAAGCTGGGTGTCACCAGTCTGCAGAAAAGCTGCTTTGGCATCGGACTTCAGGGTGCTCCAGTTGCGATGAATGGCCATTTGTAAGAGACATTGTCGCCCACGTCGAGTCAAAGTTGGGCTTCTCACCACCTCCAAGCCAAGGTCAGGGTCAGTGAACCCAATGACTACCAGGCGCGCCTTGGCCTTGACCACGTTCGGGTCGTTGGTGCCCTTCAGAACCAAAACCCACCTAATTCGCATGAGGCGATCCTGAGGGATTGGACCAAATGCAGCACGGCAAACTTTGGAGCTGATCCATTCTTGAATCTCGATGCCCTTCGCCTCCTTCATGGCCCGCCGCTGTTCTTCATTAAGTTTCTGCCACGACACTTCAACGCCCTTTGCAAGCTTCTTCGCCACGAACTTGCCGGGGTCCTTGACAATGGATCTCCACTCCGCCTCCGTTGATGGCGTAGGCAGTGTCACGGCAAAGGCGTAGCCCTCCAGCTGGCTCAAATAGGCCTCGTCCAACTCCGTCTCTTCCACGTAGAGGTTCTCATCCTCAGTCTTGCCCCGTTGCTGAAGAAATTCTTGACGTTGGACATGTTGAGGTCGTTCATCCATTTCATGGCGTCGTCGGGCTTGAAGAAATAGCGGATGCCGGAACAGAGGTGCAGGGTCCGGCTCTTCGAAGGGCATGTGATCAGGGTCTTGGATCACAGCTGTCGGATCAAGATCTGCTCGGGCTTGATGTCGAGGATCGAGGTCTTGCCTAGCATCTTCCATCTCCTCCTCTTCAATGTCCTCCTCAGGCGGCAGGAAGTTGGTTCTCGCCCTTGATGAACTGGCCTGCCCCGTTGGTGATGTCATATCTTCATCACTTGGATCCAGAGCTCGTTTTGCTCGTTGAAGTGCCCGTGCATGACGTTGATTCTCCTCCATGGCTTCACGGAATCTCTTTCCATCAGCTTGGAGTAGTCTCTGGGTCATGATCTCGTCATCATACTCTCCTTTGTTCACCAGCCCGGTGAGGTCCTGAAAGGTCCAGGGGAGAGTCAGCTGCGTTGTGCCTTGTGCCACAAGTCGTTCTCGTTCACTGGCATGTCGAAGTTGGTTGGTGTGGACCTTCTTGAGCCTTCCAGATGCAATGATCCAGGCGATGTTGTGCGGCTGTCTCACATGGCCGTCATAGGTCACCTTTGTCTCCAAGGCCAGAACTCTGGCTGGTCCATACCACCTTGCGACTTTTCGACGTGGCACATCCAGCTCTTGATGAGCTCGTTCAGCTCGATCTGCTGGCGGTTGAAATCTCTTGTAGTAGACCAAGGCCCCAGGGTCAAAGCGGACAGGCTTTGCCATCTTGGTGTTGAAGGCGGCGTTGGTCTTCTCTCGAAGGATGTACTCCCTGTGGTGAGTTTCCGCTTCCAGCCTGCTTTCGAGCTGCTTCTTCATCTTCTCGGAGGTGCTCATGCCGGACCAGTATGGAAGATCAGGTCCATCATGAAGTCGAAGCGAATCCGAGAAGTTTCGTCCAAAGACCCACTGTGCCGGGCTGTAGCCACCAATGTTGGACATGGTGTTGTGTGCACCAATCATAGCCCATGCAGCAACTTCGGGTGACATATTCGAGGATCTCAAGTGGGCCATCATCTTCTTCTTCAAGGTGCCAATCAAGCGCTCCACTTGGCCGATCTGACCATGGCTTTCAGCTGGCACGGCCATCACTTCAACTCCATGGCCTTCTGACCACTCTTCAAAAGGTCGTCCTCGATGTGCACCCTCCTTGTCCAACTTGATGATCTTTGGATAGCCAAAGTACTGGATCCATCCTCTGTAGAGGGCATCAATGCATTCTTGTGAAGTTGCATTGCGAGACTGGCCAGGAGTGATCTCATGCTTGAACAGGAAGTTCGCTGCCCCGTAGCCTGAAGCTTCGTCGAGGACAATCTGGAAGTGATAGCTCTGGTTGCCGACGTTGATCTCCATGTTGTCAAGTTGAATCACTTCCCAAAGCTCAGTGGCCTGTTCGATGGTCACAGCACGACGAGCGGGTGGAATGGCTGCCTCCTGGCAGTCCGGGCAGTGAACAATGGAAGCTAGTGTCCTGATCAACTTGCCTGCTCCTCGATCTCGCAGCATCTTCAAGTAGGACTGTCGGCTGGGATGTCCAAGCTTTTGGTGAAGTTTCAAGACCTCTCCCGCCGCTTTCTGGATCTCCTGGTCAGTGAACTGTTTGAGGCAGTCCATGTCGCAGTCTGGATTGACTGCTGCCGCTGCGAAGCTTGCTTCTTCAAGATCTCCATGGACCTCCTCCAAGGTCTTTGCCACTTGTTGGCACATCTTGCGCGGGTACAAGGCGCTCATTCTTGTGAGATCTCCTCCTTCACAAGGAACGTGAGGTTGGCTGCAGTGGCATAGTTTGTGGAGTTTCCAAACTCTTCGAGTGGAGCTGCGAATCTTCCAGGGCTTCTTCACCGATCCGCCCTTGGGTGCAGTCAAGCCGTAGGCGCAGCCGTCGATGTAGGCCTCATGGTACTCAAAGGATCTCCAAAATCTCTCAATGGACTTGAACTGCCAACCCTTGTTGAAGCGTGGCCATTCTTGCATCACATGGCCTCCTTGGTCAATCTGTGCCTCCATCACCGTGACAGCTCTCCCGGCTAACTTCTTGGACTTCGAGATCTTTGCCTGGACTTTGGCATAGCCTTCGGGAGTAAGCATGTTCAGTTCTTGGATCGAGGAAGTTGGACCACATGGGAGTGCCACCCAAACCAAATCTGGCTTCTCTTCCTTGACGAGGGTCATCACCTTGTTGAAGCCACTCTTCTTGTTCAAGTCGCATCCATTGAAGAGTCCACAGCGGATGCCCCGTCCGCCTCGAAGCTCCACAGCCCTTGAGATGCCACTGTCTTCCTCGCAGCATAGTTCCAAAACTGTGGGAGGTCGTTCGCCAGTGTTCATGGCACGTAGGGCAATCATCAGCTCCTCCACCTCAGAGTTATAGTTGTCGATCTCTTGGATCAAGAAGGCTGTCTCTTCCTCCTCCAAGGTGCTGATGTAGACTTCCTCATTCTCAATGTCCCGCTTCTTCCTCTTGCCACGTGAGGAAGGGATAGTCGTTGGCAAAATGCCATCCGTAGTGAAACCTTCGACCCTCTCGGTCGATTCCGCCATAGGTGTCCTTGTACTTGTCAAACTCCTTGCAGGTGAAACCTCTGGGCTCAGCCTCTGAGCACTGCCTTGAAGCTCCTTCTCCGTCATGGGGATGTGCTCGGCTGCCCAGCCACCATCGACCACTCCTCCGACTCCGGGCTCTCGCCATTGCGATGGTTGTACTCCAAGTGCTCCGCCGACTCCTCTGGCTTGCGAGCTTTGCGGCCCGGTGTCTGGCTCATCACCTCCTTGTCGGTGAGGGTGGTCCCAATCTGGGAAATTGGTCCCGAAGACATTGTACCGGATGCCTTCTGCTGATGGTCCATAAGGGCGTGGTCCATCTTCTCTTTCGGGACGGTGTAGCCTTTCCCATGGCCTTTCTCTTGGTTCTCCTTGATCGCCTCGCCCTTGCTGGCTTGGATCTTCAACCACTGTTCTTTCTTCTTTTGCACCATCTCCAACTGGTTCATGATGCTCCTCTCCTGCGCGTCGTAGCCGATCTTCTTGTTGACCAGGTCGATGGAGCCCTTTGCTGGCTTCTTTTCCTCCAGCTGCTTGGAAGTGTCCTGATGTAAAGGGCCAGCTTGTCGTG